GGGGACTATTTTTAAAATAAACTCTACATTTTAGGAGAATCTCTGCAGCTTCTAAATTATGTGATAAGTACGAAGAAGTATTAAAATAAACTCTGCATTTTAGGAGAATCTCTGCAGCTTCTAAATTATGTGATAAGTACGAAGAAGTATTAAAATAAACTCTTGCATTTTAGGAGAATCTCTGCAGCTTCTAAATTATGTGATAAGTCCGAAGAAGTATTAAAATAAACTCTGCATTTTAGGAGAATCTCTGCAGCTTCTAAATTATGTGATAAGTACGAAGAAGTATTAAAATAAACTCTTGCATTTTAGGAGAATCTCTGCAGCTTCTAAATTATGTGATAAGTACGAAGAAGTATTAAAATAAACTCTTGCATTTTAGGAGAATCTCTGCAGCTTCTAAATTATGTGATAAGTACGAAGAAGTATTAGAATAAACTCTACATTTTAGGAGAATCTCTGCAGCTTCTAAATTATGTGATAAGTCCGAAGAAGTATTACAAGGAAAATCACCTTGTGCGCGTGTGGTTTTTTTTTATAGCAAAGTCACAATAGGCTATCTGTTGTGTCCACCGAGGGGAATCGAACCCCTGATTTCAGCGTTGTAAGCCCGTAGACTTACCGCTTTCCCACCGGGAACAATATTGAAAGAGTACAATAATAGAATAATAGTAGTAGCTACATCATGGGCTATCTGTGCTGTGCCCACCTCAGGTATCAAAACCGGTTTTTAGAGTCGTTTGTTATTAAGTACGAAGCTACATCATGGGCTATCTGTGCTGTGCCCACCACAGGTATCGAAACCGGTTTTTAGAATTATAAGCTTTCAGGCTTACCACTGAGCCACTGACGGGGGGAGCGGAAGATGTTCACTATCGTTTCAGCAAATGTGTAGCATATTTGAAATGTTGTGGAAACTGACATTTCTTAACCTTTTGAGGACACGCGTTAAAAAAAAGGAGTGAAAATAGAATATATTTAAGCAGAAACGCCTTTTTGGATTTAATTTGGGGGTGAGGGCAAATGTTTAGCTTTTTGGAAGCTATTGGATTTGTCTAAAGTGAACGTGCAATATATTGTCTGGCATTGGAGTGTACTGTTGCTTTACAACACACGGTAAAGGCGTAAAAACTTGGAAATTGCATCAACTACTCTCTACAGTTG